CATTTGCGTCTCATTCTCGCAAAACCCCAGAACAACAATAATTTGTGATTAATCACTGATAAAGTATTTTATAGCTCTTGGAAATGATGGATGTAGAACCGATTCTTAGAGGCATGAAGTAGTGTTCAATCAACATGCATGTTTAAGCCAGAAAACTCATCATTTGCGTCTCATTCTCGCAAAACCCCAGAACAACAATAATTTGTGATTAATCACTGATAAAGTATTTTATAGCTCTTGGAAATGATGGATGTAGAACCGATTCTTAGAGGCATGAAGTCATCAGTGTTCAATTTCGACTATCCATCGAACACCAACCTGAAGTTCACAACTATCATCCAAGTTTACAGCCTACCACGAAGGTTACTTTGCTCTGCCCTTTGAGATATTCTCTTATCATCCTGAGACGGTGTGTATATCTTTTGTGTGAACAACAATAATTTGTGATTAATCACTGATAAAGTATTTTATAGCTCTTGGAAATGATGGATGTAGAACCGATTCTTAGAGGCATGAAGTCATCAGTGTTCAATTTCGACTATCCATCGAACACCAACCTGAAGTTCACAACTATCATCCAAGTTTACAGCCTACCACGAAGGTTACTTTGCTCTGCCCTTTGAGATATTCTCTTATCATCCTGAGACGGTGTGTATAAAGGTCTTTTGTGTTTTAATCGGATTCAGCTGAGAAGTCATACTCACTACGTTCAGTCAGTGACGTCATAACACGGCGCGACATTTACCCACCTCTTGATTCCAACGAAGTACGCCCGGGTTTCGGCACCCTGCCCCATAGCTCCAATGGCAAATATCACTCCTCCAACACTGAAAGACGTCACATGTAATCATCAAACTATCAAAATCTCCCAAAGTATTACAGTGACTGCGTCACGCGCTAGCATAACGCTGACAATCGAATCTTACAGTGAGAACTTAGACGAAAAAACTAAAAAAGTACAAAAAGTTGCATCGGGTAAGAGGACTTGAATTGGTTGGAAAATATGCTTTCATCAAGGTTTTCTCGAGTTCCACAATTCCATAGACTACGACACTTGATACACTTGACAAAATACGATTAGAAACATACACAGAAAGCAATGAGGCAGTGTTAGGCAACATTAGCTCTCTGTCAAAAGTATCTTTTTCGAGCAATCCGCCTTCACGTTCCTGGTTTCATGAGGGTATTTTCAATTTTTTCTCGACGAAAACGTCGGGTTATGTTCGTTCTAATCGCTCGTCACTCCAAACTCATACGAGCTCGAAGTAAATGGCTGATGAATATTTGGATCACAAGTATTTTTAGGAGCTTTAAAATACACCAATTGACAGGCTTTTCTCAAAGTAAGTTGTTCCTGTGAAGGAGGCAGAAAGTAAGGTTCCCATTTCTGTCTTTTCAGTGCGACACTTTTCACCTTTCATCAGTTGGAGGTGTCGATCTTCGAGGTTAATTTACTGGCTGTATAGGTTAGCATCCTTAGTAAAACTCTGCGTTAGGCATGCAGTTCCACGACCTTCTTGCGTGCTAGCTGGTTGCGGATAATGGTGGTCAGCCATCCAAGATGTTACAAACGGGTGCGAATGGTAGAATAGTTCAAGCACTGGTTTTCCTGATCCTGATTGTCGCGGAGTCTTCTAGAAAGGGTGGCCCATTCAGTTGAAATGAGATAAACTACGCTAAATTTTTTAAGCTTTCAATTTTGGGGTTTTGCGGGATAGGTATGTTTGTTCATAGCCACATCACTCTCGTTTGAACGGCCGTGTTCCTGTTCTGGCGTAATTATTCCGGTGAGTCCACACCAAAGGGAAGCACTGGACTCGAGTTTCGCTCTTATTAGAGCTCATCAGCGGTGCATATCTAATGGCCGTGCCGGGATTTGAACCCCGGACTTTTAGACTTTGTTTTGGCTCCTAGTCTCCAGGAGTCTTAGAAATCGTTTAGATGCAGTGCCACTGCGTTTTAGGTGAGAACATATAACTTAGTGTGAGACGGCATGCACAGTCTCGTACTTAGTAGCTTGTGTAGTTGAATCAGAAGCGTAAAACTTAAACGGCGTGAAGCCGGTAGTCGTACCTGGAAAACTTGTGTTTGGTACACTTCTGTAGCTGGCAAACCTTGTTTCAAAATGCGGTTGTTCAGAAATAAAAAGTAAAAATGTTGACTTTATTCAACTGGTTTCACTTGAATGATGAAAGCTTTGTGAAACTTCCTAAATCAACTCAGGTTGCTAGAGGTGAACCATCACCAGCTTCATCCCCAGTGAACTCCTTTTCCTTTTTCCGCACAAATACTTAAGATATGTTTGGTTGTTGCTGCAGTGTGTCATCGATGTTAACACATGTTGTTTTTTTGACGGTGGTACGGGTTGAAAGTTAATCATCTGACCACGTAATGTGAATCTTGTGATTAAAGAAAGTGTGGCGTTCTATCCTGAGTGTAATTTACTAGCACTGCTTATCAGCGGCTCCTGCTCGAACAACGCAGTCTTGCACTACTAGCCGGGCGGACGAGTTGGAATCTTGCTTGATTTTTGCGAGGTGCGGAGCGCTGACAATTCTCAACAAGGACAAAACATCTGAATAATGCTTTTCCGCTAGGTTGACCCCACCTAAAGGACAAAAACTTTCTTCAGATTTTCCAGAACTCATCCAATCAGTTGAGGTTGTACTTTCGATGAAACCTTCAAGTAACCTTTTTTCGTACTTTCCTGACAAGGGACATATTTGCGCTTTGGCATTTTTCGAGAAGTTAAGACTGCTCATTCTCACATAACGCTGGATATTTTGACCCATTTGATGGTTCTGACTGACACGAGATTTACCTTAAGAAAGACCTAAGTTCCCATTCTTGTTTGATAGTACTTTTCTCTGGCAGAAATGCTGAAGGGGATCCAATCATTCCTTGACCAAGTCCAGTCTCAGTGGTCTGGCTTCATTAGGCCTTTGAAAAGCACCCATCACCACGTGATTATTGAGTTCATGGTCAAATTCTAGCACTCTGTGGACGATAGTTGAAGGAATATGGTGTTATAGTGGTTGTATTTTATCTGCTTAAGCTATGAACTGCTTCTCAGTAAAAATGGCGTGGAAAAAAACAAGCACCCGAATAACATACGCGGAGAAATGACTGACTCCGTTCTAGACTAACAGCAGATTTATGTTCAAGTCCGATTAAAGTGCCATCCTTTGTTTCGGACGCACGTCCGCACGCTCAACTTATGATGCGCTGTTCTACATACGGTCATTTGTAAACCGCATGTAACTTTGCACGGGGACCTGCGGACGGAACAGGCATATGAGTTCACATTTTGGCAAATGAGTTTGAGGGAGCTAGCACGTTGCTCATCAACATAGTTTCTTCGCTGCTACCTTCGATCTACCCTTAGGTGATTTCGCAGCAACTGCTCATGAAGAACACCTCACTTTTGCCTTAGGCTCCGCAGCACTTGGTTTTCTGCGCGTCATAGACTGTGATCACGTGGTAGACGGTTATCCACTTTGCAACCGTCATAATGTCTGACCGTCTAGGCACTATTGCTCCACACCATTCTGAGTAGTAGCCTACGCGAAGCTCAGTGGGCAGTACACCAAATATCTATGCAACGTGAGCTAGAAACGTCACCATCAATAGCGGGCGCATTGAACCGAGATGTATGTATATATCCGTGTTTTAATCCGGTGATGGGACATACCCAAAAGTTTATTCCGAATTCCTGCCTAATTGGTTATCTTAGGGTTCCAAAGGTGTGTGGGAAACTTTGGCAGAAACCACGAATAGGAAGAGGAAGGATAAGAATTTTCGCCAAATTACAAATTCCCTTCTCAAAATAGGTAATCGCCAACGTTCTAGTCCATCACATTTCGGCATATGGGATTCGCGACCCAAGACTGAACGTGTCTTGGTCTGCTTGGATTCCTAGCAATCCTGCACATCTGTTTCGCATGTGACCTCACCGCGGAAACATGACCATCTAATCAACAATAACAACGAGAAAAAAAGGACTGGGGGAAGGGGAGAATTCGCAAATGTTCAGGAGTGGTCGACTGTTCTCCGACTTTTTTATGGGTAGCACATCTGTAATGTTCAGTGTGCTGTGAATGGGCTAGACAGTGGAAAGATGTGGTTTTCGGCAATGATCGAAAGGTGTCATGAAGCCTATTACTTGCATTATTCTTTGAAATTTCATCCATAAACTTTCTGCTTTATTTCTTCTGGCTTGTACACCTACTAACATGATTTATTGTACTTCAGAGGCATCTGGAATACTTTTGAACTCATTCGAATGAGTCTGTACCTTCTCATCTGTTACGGAATTTACAGTTTTTCGTGTCTTTAATATTCAACTTCGCAGCACTACCCGACCCCTTTTAGATGGGAGATAAGCGAATTTCTGCACACTGCAATAATCTCAGTGCACATCCTTTCTTCACTTTCCGCTCTGTCCGATGTAAGTAAACGTGTTTCTTAAAGTCAAATATGGATCATGGGTCCAAAGAGTTCTGTGGTGGTGGGTTCTTTCAATCGTCTCTTTCTGTCCATCCCTTTCTCCCGTTATAAATATAACTAGAGTGGGTTCTGAGCTTTCCCGTATTGTAACCTTGAAACAGTCCTTTTTGATCATTATTTCAATAGGCCTTTTCCGCGGGTTTACGTCACTCCCACATAAGCGAAATGGGAGTTAAAGCCAAAATTACTAGAAAAGTTGCTGCTGCTTCCTCGATTAAAATTACCTGACAGTTGGGGCACTCCATATCAAAAAGTTTTTTAAGTTGTAGAGTTAGGAAACCAATCTGCTCTTGGATATTCTCTACTTACTCCGATAAGTTAGCGTGCGAAACCTTCACTCTCACCATTTTCGTTTTAATTGTCAGCAGTAGATAAGAAGGACATCCGGTTCACGTGGTATGCGACAAATCATGTGACCATGGTCCCAAGTACCATCCACCCACCTGCATTGCCATTCTCATCATTGGAGCTGTGAATGATAAAGCAGATTTTAGTGTTTTCAACCTTGTTACTGTCGAATGGAGGTTATTTCTACCTGTTTCAATTGCTTTCACCGATTTAATTTGTAGTGTTGGAGTCCTGCTGACCTATTTCACAATTCAAAAGACATTTGTCGGAGTGATAGTAACCTACGCGTTGCTAAATGGTGTTGGACTTGGATTAGGCTATTCGGTGGTGCTTGCAGTCGCAACCTCGGTGAGTTGTTCCGTGCGCTTATTACTATTGTCAGTTTGCAGTAATCAGGGAGTAAAGTGCTTTAGTTTCTTAAAGAAATTTGGTAGCTATCTCACATGAATTTCGCACTGGGACTGGCACTCGAAAAGGTGAATAAATCACATCCTGGATCAACTATGTGAACTTTGAATCATCTAGATATTTCGTATATAATGAGGAAAAGTCAGACTGAAATTGTTTGTCGTTTCAAAGCAAGAGAAGGTGAAAATTTTCTTTTGTGTTAAACCTTTCTATACAGTGTTCGGTGAATACCATTTGGCCCAGTACGAAAAACCATGGAACGTGTTGCTTCCCGCTACTTACGCTTTTAAGATATTATCTACATGCTTAAGCGTCTTTGTATATTTGATGTCCTGATAAGACCCGAAGACTGGTTTTACATGAATCCTCAGAGCACCACTCATTGATCCTTCTTCCAACTATCTGAACTACTGCTCGATGACAACCCTGGTGGCGGAGCGTTTGGCTGGATTGGTATTCGGGTTCAGATCTCCAATGAATGACATTAACTTGAATGGCCTACGAATGACCAGTGTGATGATCCCTCGCCTCGGATGTATCGCGATATGGCAGCTTGTTAAGGAACGAGTCAGGCAAAACATCTGTGTTTTTTAGGTTTGAACGTTTGTCTGCTAAGCTATTTTATGTGTTGGAACTCTCATTTCGCAAGCGAAGTGTCCGAAGATGAAATCCAGGATGCGGTTATTGATTTTATGAACAGGTGTTATGAAATCGGAGCAAAGCCGAACTCCAAAGTTTCCTTTTTTTGTTGTGGAACTATCGTAATAACAGTCCTGGAACAGACGGTGAACTGTTCAAACGAAGGTGACGTGAGTTCAAAAAATCCTTCCTCTTTTAGCTTTTTGTGTGCTGAATCCAGTATGAGATTTGATAATCACAAGAAAATTAGTCAACTGTGGCTGAAATTGAACCCATTATTCATAACCAAGCAAAGCTCAGGGATCTTGTACTCACTTACGTAAAGACTGCATAGAAACTGTAGGTAGTACTGTAGACAGTGAGGACTTGAACTTGACCAACAATGCTGTACTTCCTGCAAATTTCACATAATTCATTCTCCGTTCGCCGAGCTTGGCAATTGGCTTGCAAACGTTTCGTCACCATACGAGGAGACATCATCAGTGCGCCGTGTGTGCCCACTCAACGGCGCATTGATGATGTCTCCTCGTATGGTGAGCTATATAAGCGCACGCAGGCAAGGAAGAAGTACCCACTCAACTGCGCACTGATGATGTCTCCTCGTATGGTGACGAAACGTTTGCAAGCCAATTGCCAAGCTCGGCGAACAGATCAACAGCCACCTGATCAACAACCAATAAACTCACCCGAGCTACCAATATTTCAACAAATTACCAATTCATTCTCCTAAATAACCCGTGAGTTAAATACTTGTTGTGCTGTCCAGAAACAGAATATTCTAGCTACGCATTGCGTTGTATGCTCAAACATCCTGCACAAACAATTGACCCGCTGTGGTGCAATATTCCATCTAAGGTTATTTGCCCCAGCTTGAACCACTTGTGAATGGTTTCATTTACCTTGTCCGTCGCGTAGGTTATCTGGATGGATTGACGACATTGTTGTTCATTGCATGTACTCGGCCACAACTCTGTCCATTTGTGTGTCTACATAAACCAACCCTTAGCAGCATTGTCGTCCTTCTATCTTCCCGCCAAGCATTTCACTTTGTCCATTTATTTGGCGAGCTATTTTCTGTTGTATTCGCTCCTGGTTCGGAACTCAGGTAAGTCGTTTAGCAAATAGGTCACATTGTGAGACGTTTCTCCATACAGCCCTTGCACTCATTCTAACGCTCAACATGAATCGTCTACGATGCGAACATGTTGCTGAAGTATGAATGCCTCTGCTCGTAATCTCTTTTGCTTTCTTTGGGAAACTTGCTCGCTGTTGTCTCCCAGTAGTGCAGCGTCTAGAGCTTTGGAAGCTTCAGGAAAGAACAAGGGCTGTTGTACACGGTATTTTCGTGTAGTAGTGAGACCGCTGAGACACTGCATACTCCTTCCTCTTGGAGGTAGTAAGCTTACTTTAGTACTTGTGTTATCATTATTTGTGTCAAACTTCCAGGGTGCTCACAGCGACGAGAAAAAACGCTTCAAGGTTTGAATTTTATGCGAACTGTTCATGCGCCATCTGCTGATATGCAGCAGCCCTACGAAGACGCAGGTGTCTACAATAAGATGCATATGTTGCATATTGTGGGAAATTCAGGAGCTGCATTCATCCTTCGAAATAAATGTCCATTGACTGTCCATCAAAGCGCTACGTTCCATCTGCGGGGTACTTCTAGTGCAGATCTGGCGTTCGCTGAATCTTCCCAACTATCGACCATTGGAACTGAGTGAGCTAGATGGTCTATGGCAGCAGTAAATTCACTGGAAGGTAGAAATATCACAACTCCCTATTGATCTGAGCAAACCGTTGTGTTCAACAGCTATGGTGAATAAGACCACTTATTTTGAGACCAAAGTAGTTGACGTCATCAGAGATTTCTTGTGGATCGATAACAGCTGTGATGCCTTACAGGTGGCAATCTAACATCTGAAATACAAATCCCTCTGCTACAGCTTCCAGCTGTTTCACCTAACTCGACCAGAAATAAACAGTGCACTTTCGGAGTTTTCAACCAAGAATGCAGAATATTTCCTTTTGTCCACGAATCTCGATTTGTTCATCGTTGATTCCCACCACTAATTGGCATCACTGAATTCGATCGATGGAATCAGGTCCTTCAAAGAAATTTCCTTAGAGGAATCTGTTGATCGCCTGATTGGTGCTCATGTGCGCGGAGTAGTGATTTCAAACTTTGGTTAACCAAATAGCTTCTCATTTAAATTGGGGAAAGTACAGTGCTTGAAATTACTGCTGACTAGACAATCGGGTCATTGGCCAGATATTAGGCTACATGATGCGACTTCTGTTTCCGATCACACACTTTCCCGCAACGCGATTGGTTAATCCTACTGCCAGTGCTGTCCACCAGTCACCATAACTCTAAGGTAGCAGCAGAGTTGAGAACGGATGCAATACACCTGTCATCAGATTTGAATGGTATCAGTGAGGCTTGCCGACAGTACACCACAGAACTGACGATGCAAGAAGCTCTGCTATAGAAGTTACACTTGTGTAGTCATCTTTATGGACACAATGGACTGTATCATGTCAAAGCTTCAGTACCCACTTCACCTAGGTCCAATTGTCGTAATTCAGTGTATTTTATTCGACACCCCTCAAACTTTCTTGCTATGAATATGTTTTACATTCAAGGGTCTTGCCACTAGGATCCGTTTCTTCACGAAAGAGAACGTTTCTTATTAAAAGTGATCTATTGTTTAGGGGCTTTATATTGGGGAGACTAATGCATGTGCTTTCCTATCCTTTCAAAATAGTGGTTTCCTGCAAGGCGTGGCCTAGTAAGCGGTCTAATCGTGGGTGGATTCGGACTTGGGGCGCTCATCTTCACGCCTATTCAAACTGCCTACATCAATCCGGATAACGTGAAGGTGGACAATGTAACGAGGTAGGTAAATTTCATATTATTTTCCAGGTAGCATGGTCTGCGGTTATGATTGCCTTGCTTTTTTCGCCCCAGTTTCACCGCTTTTAAGGCTATCTCAGTACTTTATTGTGCATTTGGGAGCGAATCTAAGATCATACCATTGTAAGGATCAGAGTTTTACCGACACATTCAGAACGCCAGTTCCGTGTTGGCGAAGTACAGAAAGCAGATTTGATTGTGCGGTCATGCCGATCTCATGTAACATTTTTGTTATGCGGCTATCAGACGACACATGCCACCGGATATTGCCCTTTTGGACAATTGTCACATGTTAAATATATACAGAAGTGCAACGCACCAAGTCGTGAGTTCGAAGCAATAGAGAGCAGCTAGAGAATCAGAGGATTCGCAACATTACTGCACGCCTGTTGGTTACAACCCGGTTCCAAGAAAGTTACTAAACATGGTTGATGAATTTTACTGTCACCGTCGCGGTAGGTAAGGGTACTTGAAATGGTACTGTTCTGTCAGACTTTCGTTTGTATCCGGACTTGTGAGGGTTTTTAGGTAGATCTAAGGCTCTGAGAAACCTAAAGTGAGGCTGTTGACAAGTTTTCAGCAACCTTATGAGTAGTGCATTACGAATACACGATACGCGATATCCCAAAAATCTTAGCGAGTGAAACATGAGGCGGCCTGGTGCAGCACATTCGGTTGCCTGGAAACATCACAAACGAGAGATTCAGCTGGGTTCCAGGTGAGTCCTTTGGAAAGCCAAATTAGTTTGCAGATATGTCTACTATGCTGAGGAAGTTCTGATTTAATCTTGTTTGAGAACTGTCTGATTTTGTAGTTGCAGCCGAAAAAAGCGGTCCCAAACCCACGTGGAGACCGATCATGATATTCTCGCTTTCCTCACCATTTATTTTTCGTTCATCTCTTTCACCACAGAGAATTCACTGATCCAATTCTATTGGATCGTGTTCCCAACGTTTTCCTTCTACTTGGGGGCTTGTTGTTGGGAATACAAACGGTCGGGTTCATTCTTCTAAGACCACGTCCTACGACGGTGAGCGGCTCTTCGTGTTGTGATGCAAGCAAATTCAACCATTTGCCATCGACTGACCTCCACATGTTGTTATCTTGTTGGCATCTTGTCTGCTTATCTGTACTAAACACTGTTTTTGGTTTTTTATTTATTTACCTGAAGGTCGAAATTTAGTCGCCCATGTAGTCGGTCAGGAGGTACGGTCTGAAACATCCACAGTGCAACAGGGCGACGACTGCCGTTCCGTCCACTTGATGGAATGCCTCTTGTCAGAGCGTGGGCTCTTCCGTGTTATGAACACTGGGATCAACGACTAGGAGGTGACAGAGATTTTATCTTTGCTGTCACATGTTAGACTCACTATTCACCTTTTTAGGAGAAACAAAGGTTGAGGGACACTGCAAACTTCCTTCAGCCAGATTACCCATTACCAAGCCGTTCCAGTCGTTCATACAAACTTTTTCACCAGTAACTACTCCGCCCGGGACAACTAACCTAATTCTACCTCACGTGAAAAAGTATGCCTGTGTAACTGCTTTTCCAATGAATCCTCTGTGGAATCTTGACAGTGATGATAGTGGTTTGGCTTTTCAACAAATGTTTATGGAAAAATGCTTTACAGTCTTGCGCATTAGCCGTAAGCCATAAAGAACACTTCGTCTCCTGTTTTTTGGTTTTCCCATTGAATTCACTCTTCATCTATGCTTACACACATTTCCCATTCAATTTCTTAGTTTTCCAGAGATCGAAGGGTCTGCTGGACAGGTTTTTTGATTTCTACACGCACAGGTCCTATTGTTTACCGCTAAATTCCATTGCGTGCAAAGCGGTGATTATGCGTTTCTCAAAACTCGTTGTTTGTGTTTTTGGGAGCTTTGAGTCGTGAAAAATAGCCTTTTGTAAACTGTTTCCACTGAATTCACTAGTTAATGTCAATTGGTTTTCACAGTGTTTTTGCGGCCTGGCAACTTCCGTTTTGCTTCGCCTTTAAACTGATTTCCAGTTTCTCGCAATTCACATCAATTTAAATTATTTGGTAAAAAAATCGAATGGATCCAGACCAAACTAAAACACGAAAGGGAATTGTGGAAAAACTGACTGTGCTTACCTGCAATTTCCCAGTCTTTTGTTTCGCTACGTTCGTATTTTATGTAGTTTTCCGTGCGTGCGTGCTTGTGGTATATTACCCATTGCTTATGCTGAACGAACCTGTTTCACATATTCCTAAAACTTTGTTCTTACCTTATTTGATTTGTGGATTGGTGTGGGATCAAAGTGCGGTCTCGGCTTTGATTGTGAAGGAAATGTTTGATTAGCAAATCTAGGGTGAATGAAAACCGGACTTTATATTTGTAATGTACTACTCATAAGGTTGCTGAAAATCCATCGACAGCCCACGACTGGTTTCGCCCTTCTTGGAGCTCATCAGGTAGGCGCAGTCCCCGGGTTTCCGTCAACCCCATGTTCTACTTGAAACCAAATTGCACGAAATTAGCGAATATACACTCATCTGCAAACTAATTTGGTTCTTTCGAGAGACCCACCTGGAACCCAGCTGAATCTCTCGTTTATGATGTTCTCAGGCAATTGAATGTGCTGCACCAGGCCGCCTCATGTTTCAG